CAGGGGAAGGGCAAGGTAGGGGCTTAGCGGTTGGCATGGCTCCTGCACGGAGGGCTTCTGTTGTGCTGGGGAGGACAGGAGGGAGGGGGAGGCTGGGGGAGCCGGGGAATGGGGTTTGCAGGAAAGAGCTGAAATGTATGTACACCAACACTAGGATCATGGGAAACCAGCGAGAAGTGCGTGAGGCTCTCCTGGGAATCGGCGGATATGACCTGGTGGGGATCACAGAAGCATGGTGGGATGATAAGCCAGAATGGAATGTCAACATGGAGGTCGCATGCTCTTTTTAGGAAGAGGGAAGGGGATCGCGCTATATGTTAAGGAAGGGGCAGGGTGCAAAGAGATAGGGAGCGGGGTAAAGGGGACCAGGCAGAGGCGATCTGGGTAATATTGATGGGTCTAGACAAGGGCAGGGACCATACACTGAGGGTATATATCACCGACCTGATCAACTTGGGACCCTGGATGATGCTCTGATAGACCAGATTGGAAGGGCTTCTCAGGGAAGGACATGGATATAAAGGGAGATTTCAACCTCCCTGATATTAGTTGGGAGACGCACTCAGCACTCAGACTGTGGAAGTGGGCGGGGGACAACAGGATGGCATTGAATGCAGGTAAGTGCAAGGTCTTGCACTTGGGAGTTAGGAATAGGGGTCACAGCCACAGCTTGGGGGACAAGTGGCTGGAGAGCAGCACTTGTGAAAGGGATCTTGGGGTACTTGTTGCTAGCAGGTTAAACATGAGCCAGCGGTGTGATGTGGCAGAAGGTGAACGACCCTTGGATGTGCACCCAGAAGCTTGGCTTCCAGGGTGGAAGGATATCTCATGGGAGGGACAGTTATGGGAGACTGCAACCTCCCTGATATCAGTCCATTCAGTATCCTAGATGGCCCAGGAGGCCCCTTCCGACTCGCTTTTTCCCTGTGTTTCTAAATCCGCTTCATGAGATGGCCCCTTTGGTTCTTGTATCATGGGAGGCATTTCACCTGCAGAAGCCGTTCTGGCCTTCCATCTGCATGTGGTCGACGAGAGAAATAGAAAATCTTCCAGGCTGCTGTTTGCACTGAACTGAGTTGCAGCGGTTTGTGACTGAAGCGAGTGTGCAGAGTTGAAGCGATGAGGAGAGAAGCTGCGTGTGTGAATGGGGGTGGGCAGGGGCGGAGAGGGATTTGTGAGATGCAATGCCCATGACACCCATTCTCCATCTTTGCTCCTTTTGCAGCGTACAGTGAGTCTTTGGAGGGGTCCGAGAAGAGTAAGTGTCCATATGTTGTAGGCCAACAGGTTTGGAGGTCCGCCTTGAAGACAGGAGATCTTCCAACAGGGAATGTGCCCAGATCTTGAAGGGCTTTCTTTAGTTTGGCCCCAATCTCGGGGCTTGTCAGAACTCACAGCCTCTGGGACAAGTGTGACTTTTGCCACCCATCAGTTCAACACGTCTGTGGTTTAATGTGGAAAGACAGGGATTTTCTTCCTTGATCACTCTGAAGGACAAGTGTTGCTCGGGGTCTGTACAAAAGTCATATTGGCAGTACAGGGTGGGATTGTCTCCTTCACATAAGGTTTTCTTCTCATAAACATGCAGCTTGGCATGCAGCCCCAGTGGAGAGACCCATCGCAATGACTTAACTGCCACCCCTCTGTTGCTTTTCCTGCAGCACTGCTGGACAAGGCGTAAGAGCCCGGCCCAGTTTGCTCTACGCGAAGACCTCCTGCTGGCCCTGGTTTCTTACGGGGCCTTGTCCTGCCGGTCGCCCAGCGACTCTGTCTCCACCTCTGGCCTGGGACTGGGAAGGTGCTGTGCCTGTTGGACCTGGCCCAGCGCCGGACTGCGTGTATTGATCTGAACTGTGCCAAGTGTGTGCAGTGGAAGTGAGAGCGTTGACACTGGACCGGGATATTCGGTTCTGTCGGACTCCTTCCGGCCGCCCCCTCGCTGTGGAACGCCTTCCCAAAGGAGGTTGGCTTGGCTGCTTCTCAACTTCAGGCAGGAGCAAAGCTTTGTGGGAGGCATTTCAC